CAATGAGCAGGAGTGCATGAAATTTTACAGGGAAGAGAGTGAATAGCTGGGAACAATAATGTAATACAATCTGCCACATCAAGCTTACTGAGTTACTGTAGGAATTAAGTGGATGATACCTACAAAACACTTAGTGTTTGACACAATAAACGCTCTGTAAAGGTATATTTTTATTAAGTAGTTCAATTTTAATACATATATTTGCCAACACAAGATTAAAATGTGTCAGTCTTTGCCTTTTACTCTCCTCTCAACAACCAGCTTCCATACACATTTACATGCATAAACAGTGGTGAACTTGTACCAAATGCACAGCTTTTAGTGGCATGTAGACCTCAGTTTGAAACTCAGTTATGCTGCTTACTCAGTTTGACTGTCTGTGATCACTGTCCTCTCTCAGTCTCAGTCTCCTCATCTGTAAAATAGGAGAAAGCCCACACCATTGGAATGATGTGAGCATTGAAACTCAGAACATTTGACTTCTCTTTCCTCCATAGATTATCCCCAGTCTCTGGCAAGTTCTTATAATTAAAGTGTATTCCAAATATGCCAATTTGAGGCAAGCAGAGGACGTCTTCATGCCAGGGACTTAGAAAATGCAAACTTTGAGGATTTCTACAATAATTAGTAATTATTGCCACTCCCTTCACTAAAAGGATATGTGAGGCTCTTCCCTAACTGAAATGCATAGGCTCTCTTGAGGATGTCTCTACCTGAAATGCCTTTCTTTCACAAATGAAATTGTTTTGGTGAACATTCTAAGATCACCATCCCCACCCGACCATGAGAATTCGGTAAGTGAGTACTCTTGACTCAGTGATTTAAAATTTGGCTTACCTGCTCACATCTGGTAGTATATGTTAGTGGACTAGCATGCTAATCCTTGGTATTACTTGGGTCAAAGTCCAGTCTTCTTGCTTAGCTTGAGAAACCCAGTTGGGATCTTCCTTGGGCCACCCAGTATGAAGTAAGTAGGGGACAGTTTGCTATGAAGAAAGTGCTAAGCACTGCCCAGGTCATCCAGAGATATCCAAAAAACTGTCTGGTGTCAGGTAAAAAAGTGGCACCGTTACATTTGTGTTTTAGAATGATGTCTCTGATGGCTGTGAGAATAGACCGGAAGACAGCAAGACGAGGGAACAGCACAATTGTTCTTACAAGAGATGGTGCCCTCGTTTTTCAAGAAACATTCCTGGGCAATACCGCGTTCCTTCGCTGTGTTTCTTTGTGTGCTAACTGTTGGGTTTGGACAGTGCCAGGATCTTCAGTAGAGTGACTCTCTTTCGATGCATTGCTATGAGAACAAGCCTTTGTAAGACCTCACAAGAATTTAACATCCAAGTGCACTGTCATTCTTTTCTTGTGACTCATTTCAATTTTAGTTATAAATGTATCAGTAGGTAATGGAATGGAATGAAAACAAACGACACTAACATGAAAGCAGCCCTCAGTCAGAGTCCAGGAAGCCCTACCACTGAGCCCCACAGGGAACAGCCTTCTTTGTTTCTTTGCTGGGGTAGGATGATGTTAACTATTTTCCTGGATTTTGATGAAATTAAACTACACCCAAGTTGGATTCCAGGTACTTCTAAATTTTTACTCTGAGGCTGTTTTCTGGGCTAGGATACCCAATTTTTCGCTGATTACAAAACTGTCAACTTTTTATTGGGATGGTGAGGGGTATTTAAATGTTTAACCCCACATTCACACACACATCTCTTCTCTCTCTCTCTTTTATTTAAATTAGTAGACTCTTTTTAGAGCAGTTTTAAGTTTACAGAAAATTTGAGTGGAAAATAAAGACTCCTTTTCCCTGCCACACACAGTACCCCATTATCAACAGCTTCATTAGAGGGGTACTTTTGTTTAATCAATGAGCATATATATATATAAATATATATATCACACACACATATATTAGACACAGTCTTGCTCTGTTGCCCAGGCTAGAGTGCAATGGCCCAATCTTGGCTCACTAGAACCTCTGCCTCAGCCTCCTGAGTAGCTGGGTTTACAGGTGTGCACCACCACACCCAGTTAATGTTGTATTTTTAGCAGAGATGTGGTTTCACCATGTTGGCCAGGCTGGTCTCAGACTTCTGACTTCAATGATCCACCCACCTCGGCCTCCCAGAGTGCTGGGATCACAGGCATGAGTCACTGCGCCTGGCCTGATGAGCCAATATTAACATATCATTATTAATTGAAGCCCATACTTTAGGGCTCACTCTGTGTTGTACATTCTAGGTGTTTGAACAATGTATAATGACGTGTACCCTGCATTACAGTATCATGCAATAGAGTTTCACTGTTCTAAAAATTCTCTGAGCTCCACCCATTCATCTTTCCCTCTCTGTCCCTGAACCCTTGGCAACAGCTGATATTTTTACTGTTTTCACAGTTTTACCTTTTCCAGAATGTCATAAAGTTAGAATCAGATAGGAGGTAGCATTTTTGATGTCTCTTGCACACTTTTCCTTCATGTTTTCATGTCCTTTCTAGCTTATCTCACACACACACACTCATTTACACATGCACACACAGGCGCACTTCCAAAACTGAATCGAAAGTTGAGAAAAACCCATATCTAACTTGGTTCACAAAATTGTTAAGTATGAGAGGGCATTTGGGGGGCCATTTTCTCTCTCTCCCTGCCTTCCTATCGGGAAGTAAACACTGACATTCACCCATCTCACAAGACCCAGGTCTCTCCTCCTGGCTTGGTCTGTTCACTTGTTTCCCTGAAAGCAAAGGCCGCTTTGCCTGTGCTGTGTCTGGGCGGTAATTACCTTGTGTCTGTTCAGTTGCTTTCAAATTATTTTCCCCACCTTCAGAGCAATTGCCTCCTACTTCTTATCTCTACTGTGATCTTCTACAGGGCACAAGGGACCTGTCTTTTGACTCTCATATTTTTGCTTCTGATGTTAAAAAGTCCCCTTGAACTTGCATTTTACAGACACCAGCAAAGCCCAAGTGTCTTCACATAACCTGACACTTCCCGGGGGCAGGGTGTTTGCAATTATAGCCTGAGCTGGCAGCGGGATCAGAGAGTTGCCCAGGCCCAGTGAGGCCTGGCCTGCAGAGCACCTTTGATGAGTGATGGGGTTATTATTATGAATGCTATGTGAGGATTGGTAAAGCCCCATGGCAGAAGGGCTTTTCTCCCTTCGTCTTGCCTTAGCTGTAAAGACAGACAGACATATATATATATATATACATATATGCATATACTGGGAGGCAGGCTGGCTAGGGAGAGATGAAGTTAGAGGAAATTCTGACACATTTTGGAATGATCTTTCTCCCATGCCTCTGTCTTCCCAGAGACTCCTCTTTCTCACTGACAGGACATCCTCTCTTAAGGGCCATGAGTATAGTTTACTCCCAAATTGAAGAGCCAACCTCTTTTCCCAGCTTTTGCATTCCAACATCCTTCCTTCCCTTTATTCTTTTCTGTGGAGGCTTAGGATTTCTTTCTTTAGAGGCATTTTCTGCCACTTTGTCTCTTGCAGAGAAAATAAAAAATACATAAGTAGGAGGATACTGATCCTAGCTATTTGCATAGATAGAGTGCTTCTCTAGGGAAACAATTTTTTTTTCCCACTCTTCCATTGTTTGTGTCTATGTTCCGTGCTGCAGATCGTTGATCATTGTTCATTTTGCCTCTGTGGTAAATCTATATCCCTGTGGGTGGGCCCAGCATTCCCTAAAAGAGAGAGGCACACCCAGTGTTAAATGTCTGGGGAGGAGGCCATACTCAGCCAGAAAATATGATCTTAGAAGGCTTGGCAAGGGGCCTCCTAGTCCTTCCACTTTGATTTTAGACCTTCAGGAGACTTGATGCTTTGGGAGGAGAGCATCATTTCAGGGTTTTAAGATGGCCGCCCTGATGGGAAAGTGTGATGGGAACTGGAAAGGGACTCCCAGGCTACGTGAAATGTGCTGAAGGTGAGAAGCCACCCTCATCTTGTTAAATGCCATGGCTGCTTATTTCTTGCCTGTCATTCCCTTCAGTTGCCCTAACCCCTTTAGAAAAGCCTCTTGGGAATCTTTGAAATTTTTCTTTAAAACACTACAGAATCCAGGGAAGAACCTTGTCACGTCATTTCAGGAGAGCAGTAAAGAGGGTGGAATGCCTCCCAAGATCAGCTGGAGTGGCAGGGAATGTTCTGGATCTCATTTAAAAATATGACTTGAACTGAAAACTGTCATCATATGCCTGTCATTATGTTCTAAATCTTAAAACATCCTTACGAAGTGGCACTGCTCTTGCTCCCATTTTACAGACGAGGAAGCAACATTTGGGACTGTGTATGCCAACAGCTGATCCTCATTTTACATTGTTTGTTTTCTGATACCCTTGAAAGATTTGCATTGCATATTAGAAAGAAAGTGGAATGGTTTTGTTACATTTTTACAACTCTCAAAGCACCTTTGTGTACTTGGTCTTTTAACTAGACGATTCAATTATGTGGATAAAGCAAGACAAGTTTTTCCATTTTTGTTTTTGTTTATTTTTAAAATTTTAAGAGCTGGACCCTGCAATCTGGGTTATATGATTTGTTGGAAACCATGTGTCAATAGATGAGGGGATGGAATTCAAAATTATTGCAAGTACAGGACTTAGTCCTCTAGCACTTGATTTTGGCTTAATTTAGAATCTGTTCATGCATGGAAATGCCAAAGACTGGGAACATAATTCCAATAGTCTCAGCAGCACGCTGGGAGCAGGAGGATCCCCAAGTCCCAGTGGGCTACAAACCTCCTGGGTCAGACTTTCTATGTGTTTGCTTGGGTCACTGGAAGTGGCCAGGGAGACTTCTATGAATGTGTCAGATATCTTGGTGCATCAATTTAGGCTCTGTGGCAAAGTCCAGAAGATGAGGGAAATTGAAATAATTGTGGATACTTGGTTCTACACTTATGGTTTTGACACGGGGGAAACATTTGATGTTGTTTTTTCTGCTTCAAGGATTCCAATGATGTATCTTTCTCTGTTTCAGCCACCATGGGTTACTGACAGACCAAAATATCCTGACAACTCCCGAATGCCGGAAGGAGAGAATGGGTTTATACATCTGAGGACCTTGACTATTCTGTAAGAAGGAATTTCCTGCTAAGTATGGTCTCAGAAAGAAATTCTCTTGGAGGTTGCCTAAGGACAAGTGGAGGAAACAAGCCATAGCCTTTTGGAATTGTAGTAATATTCCAAGACACATGTTTCCCAGGGGCTGGGATTTTACCTTGTATCTGTCCTACAATCAGAGTGTAAGATGGAAGAATGTACTTCCTGTATCTGAGCCACTGTTTCTCATCCATAGAATGGGGAGTTCGGATTTCTAAGATCCCTCATCTCATGCTTTGAATGGGATCAGGCTGAGAATTCAAAAGCATCCGCCCCCTGGAAAGGGAGGCAGCCAGGACAGGACAAGGCTTGTATTAAATAATGAGAAAGGAGCATGGTTACTATGACTTGATTCAGTCCAGAAATAAAATATAAGGGGGTCTGAACTGGGGCAGAAGAGGACGACAGCAGAAATTCTTCTAGGAGTGGCAGTCAAGCCAGGACAGGCTCAGGGCAGGCTGCCTGGTTTGGGGAATGGCATCAGTGTGTGTGGAGAGGTTCTTAAGGCCAGACAGGTGTTGGGGCCCAAGCCAAGTGGACTGGAGGTCAGAATAGGGCTTCAGTTCTAAAAAAGGTGCCTGGCTGAGTGCAAAGCAGGTCTGAGTCAAAGCCCAGTCACCCAGACCTCACAATCATGGCTGGAGTGGCCACAGATAGACCCACAGTGGGTGCAGAGGATCCCGACTTTATGACGATGGCAAGAGTCATTTCATGCTTACCTACTTTTTCAAGGCAAATACAGGACTGAGTCTAGGTTGGAGGGTTAGAGAAACTGAAACAGACATTTTTAGAACCGAAGTGTGATGTTTCCATTAATATGAATACACACCATAGCCAATATAGATGGTGTGCTCTCTCTGTGCCACCCTATTCTATGTGCCTCACATGTGTGAACTCAGTGGCAGGCTAGGATTAGAGCTTTTGCTTATTAATCACTATGGCAACAGGTCATTCAAAAAATAACTAATTACTGTGTTACCAAGATCAAAACATAGTACTATTCACCCCTTCAGCTGTGACCACCACATAGGAGAGTCCAGGCAAAAATACAGAGATCAGAAGGGGCGACTGGAATCCTGTGCAGGCTAAAGACTCTTAGGAAATATGGGCCTTTGAAATGACTTATGTGGGTTTCACTGTCAGCCCTTCTTTCTTTGGCAGGGTTAAGAGCACTTGACCTGTCGATATGCCTATTGCTTTTCCAGCAAGTCCTACATCTTTCTAGTAAGGATTCCATGCTCCTGAGCTGGAGGTGACTGGAGGTGACTCCGGGCACCATTTTTCAACCTCTCCTAGAAATGTTCTTTGGTTTCTTTAGGCTTTGACTTGGGTGACTATGAAGAACCTGACACAGGAAGTTAAAAAGCCACAAGAAGTCTTTTAAAAAGTTTGAGTTACATTGAACATGTGTTTGAAATGCAAGAAGGGGGAAGCCCTCTTTCTTATCACTTCCATCCTTCCTGACCATCTCCCCTGGGAATCAGATGTCCCAGGCACAGCTTAGCTTTCTAACCCTGCTGTATTGCCCTCCACTCCATGATCTCTCTGAATTGCTCTCCCTTTCCCCCTTTACACTAAAAGTACCCTAGTTCTGGCCTTCTTCATCTCTTTAATAATTAAGCTGGCTGACTTACCTTCCTGCCTTCTCGTCGCCCTCTTCATTCTGTCCTTGTCTCTGTCAGCAGCAGCACCGTCCTGCTCAAAACCACAAAGACCTCCTACCACCAAAAGACAGGTAACCAGAATTCACATCACATGTCGAGATCCCTTATGATGGGCCATGAAACAACCTCTCCTGTCCTAGCTTTCACTCACGTTTTCTATAATTTCTGGGCCCAGCAGGTCTGATCTTGTTCTCAACTTCCCTAACTTAGCCTCCTCCATCTGTCAGAAATAGCCTTTCTCTATCTCCATCTGAGATTAATATATCCTGGAGAGTCTATCTCCCTTTTTGGTGTCCATATCAAGGGCCGGCTCCTCCAGGAAGCCCTTCTATACCTCCAACCTCCAACCTCATACTTCATCATTAGAAAAGATCACGTTCTCATTAGAAGCCTAGACCTCAGCATCACATAATGATACGCCCATCTAACAAACCCGCACGTGTATACCCTGAACCTAAAAAAAGAATTAAAAAAATAAAAACAAAATCTACACTGATGAGAAAAAGGATAAAATCCAACTTTAAGTTCCTGATTCTAACTTTCTACCTTTATTTTAGTGCCTCTCAGAATTATCTGCGTTTATGTTTACATAAACCACTGACTGGGATCATCATAAGTGAATCATCATGTTCCCCAAACCAGAAACTGCCCTGGCACACAGGAAGCTTATGTTAGTATCTTAGTGTGATATATATGTATACACATACTGTACACATGAACATGTATCTATGTGATGTTTCCAGAGATATGTGTTCATATCCAAAGACAGTTGTCTTTGAAAGTATACACAAGAAACTCTGATAAACTTCTGGAAAATGGAGGTAGGAGAGTGGAGTGAAAGAGAGCATTTAGTAAGTTTATATTTCTTTATGTATTTCTTGACTCAAAATCAATATATCATAATTTAATACAATTTATGAAAATAAAAAAATTCATGTCAATTATAGAATACATACATCTGTAAAGAAGAATAAATCAAACAGGAATAATTTCCAGAGACTCACAATCTACATACATTCTATTTATATGATTAGGTCCATGTTATTCTTATGTGTCCTTTTTGCCAGTTAGCATTGTATGGAGAGTACTTCTCCATTCTCTATCACTGAGCTTGTAAATTATCAACTACTTTGGAATACTGCAAATGATGAAATGAACATGCATGTACTTAAATCTTTGTGTGCATTTGTTATTATTTATTAGGTTAAATTCTTAGAAGTAGAACCACTGGCTTGAAGGGAATATTATCATTTAAGGTTTTAATCTATGTTGCTGAAAGGTTTTACTAATTATTCACACGAGCATTGTAAGAAAGTATCCGTCTCATGATACCCACATCAGAATTGGGTGTTCCAATTTTTAAAACCTCCTAAACATTTTCCCACCCCCACCCCTCCCCTCCCCTCCCCTCCCTTCCCTTCCCCTCCCTCCCCTCCCCTCCTCTCCTCTCCTTCCTTGCTTTGCTTTCTTTCTTCTTTCTTTCCTTCCAGACTCTTTCTCTGTCACCCAGACTGGAGTGCAGTGCCAGCCTACTCCTCCGCCCCCGACATTCAAGTGATCCTCCTGCCTCAGACTCCCGAGTAGCTGGGATTAAGGTACCTGCTACCATGCCTGGCTAATTTGTTGTGTTTTAAGTAGAGATGGAGTTTTACCATGTTGGCCAGGGTGGTCTTGAACTCCTGATCTCAAGTGGTGCTGCCACTTCTGCCTCCCAAAGTGCTGGGATTACAGGCTTGATATGGGCTTGAGCCACCACGCCCGGTCCTAACATTTTCTTTATGGATTTTCTCTCCCTTTGATTTATAGTTAGGGCACCTCTACCCTGAGATGAATCAGATGCATCTGTTTGCTTTTTTTTTTGTCAATTCTTTTATGACTTCTTTAATATTTGAATTTTTGATCAATTTAAATCAAATTAGGTAAATTTTATGAGGTAAAGGAGGGGATATTTGCCTTACTATAATTCCCAAATATTTAACCAATCATCTGTGCCATATTTACTTAGTAATTCTTCCCCATGCTTTAAATAATGTGTAGTCTTATTTTTGTTCTGTGTTTGAATTACTATAGCTGTATAGTATGATTTGACATCTGACAGGGTGGATTTCACCTTTTTAATTATTTATTTTACATCTAGGGTCATTCTCATGCATTTATTTCGTCTAAATGAATCATAAACAGGCTGTCAAGTTTTCAACATAGATCCAAGGGGGATTTAAAATTTTTTTCTTATTAATATTTGGGAACTTCCTTCTTTTCTTCCTTTTATCCTCTTTCTTCTCTCCTCTCTCCTCCTACTCCTTCTTACTCTATTCTTCTTTCTCTTTTTCACCTCTTCTTCTCCTTCCTTTTCTTACTTTCCTTCTTATCTTACTTCATCATTTTCATTTCTCCATCATTATCTTCTTCTATTTATTGATTTCATTTAAATAATAACTATTTCATAGAGAAAAATTAAAAATAGACATAGTGATCAAATGTTGACATGTTGCCTTTTGTGTATGCTTCAAATATTTTAAAATTGACATCTAAAAGGTTACAGAAACAGGCACATTCTTCCACATACATTTTCCTCTACTCTCAAAAGTAACATTAAAAAATGCTGCACTGTCTTTTTGTGTGTTGCCATTTTGTGCATTTTTAACTTACAATTTCACAACATACTTATTTGTCCATAACAACATATATAGTGTTTTGTATGTTTAAAACTTTTGTACAAAATGTGTCAGACTGAACATGTCCTTTTGCAACTTCATTTATTTTGGTCAACAATAGGTCGCTTTTCTTAATGAACATCCTGCATATTCCTTGTTTCATTTACCCTTGGTTATTTAGAACGTGCTCCTTATTTTCATGCTAACTTCAATTGATTCAAATTTTGTTGATGGCTTATGCAACCAAGAGCCTAAATGAGATCAGTCTTCTGTGGTTTTTCTTTTAATGCTTTCTAGATTAGTCTCACATGCACACCCAGTTGGAAAACACTAGTGCAGAAGAGGGAGAGCCTAATGTCAGCATTACCTAGGTATTAGAAGAATTTGGTTATTATCATATAAACCTGGCTATGACGGAACCTGTTCTGCCGGGAGAAGGCCCCTGCTCAGGACTTCTCTTTCCCTACATGGGAACCTGTGAAGGGGAGTCCTGCTTGTGATCTTCATTTATAAGGCTAGTGCTGGCCACTGCTTGTTCTTGTCGATCCATACTTGAGGCTAGCACTACACCTGTTTGAGCAGAGTTCTGGTCACAGTCTTACTCTAAATTTGATATCTTTCCAGCACAACCCTGAAATTCCCTAACTATACCTCGCCTAGATTTTCCCACATTGTATCTTCATAGATATCCCCAATCTCATCTTAAATCTGAACTGAATCTGTCATAGTGCAGCCTGGCTCTTGTCTTACCAACTATTTGGGGGTAATGTAGTGATTCATTTTGTTTCCACATATTATTTTAAGTTCTTACTCCCTTCTTTCCCCATCTAGGTTCAGTTTTTCCCCTGCTTTTAACACCTTGGTCCAGGCAGCTACATTATCAAACTGTACTAGCATGGCAAAACATTTTTCACACATGCTAACCATGAAAGATTGGTTGTGATTTTATGGGAAAATATGTTAAGAATAATTTGGAGGAAAGATATGTATTCACATAGAAAGAACTATCTGCCATTGGTAGGTAAAGTGATGTTACATACATGTATTCTTGTTGTCACTTATTTTATCCCATCCATGATGAGAACTGATGATTATAAAATCTTTGACTATGAACATACGATGTGAGTAGTAAGCGAAAAAACTGGTAACAAAAATGAAAAATAAAACATTTTTGTAATCAAGGTTAGGGAAGACATTATTTTACTTTTTCCATTACATTATTCATGTATACATAATGGTGTGCAGTATTACTTTCCATGTGTAAAAAAAAATCACACAACAGAGTGCATAGAGAAGTGGAGAAATGGAGAATAGTTCTCAAAGTTATTTGATCTGGCAGATTATCTTCCACAGAAGAGTACAGCTGTATTTTCCATATCACAGGCTCTTCTGGAACATTAAGCTCTTCCCCCATCAAGAGGTGGTGTCTGCGTCTGTTCTCCTTGAATTTGTGTGGCTCTTCCTGACTGCTTCAACCAAGAGACTCCAGTAGGAATGATACTATATAATTTCTGAGGCTAGATCATCAGAATGCCATGTACTTTAATTTTATTCTTTGAGGGTCGCTGGCTCCTGGAACCCAGCCACCATACTGTGATGAAGCCTACACAACTGTGGAGAGGCTCACATGGAGAGGAATCAGTGCCTACTGATCTACAGCCCTGGCTGAGCTCTCAGCCAACAGTCACGATCAACTTCCAGCCATATTGAACCATCTTGAAAGAGGCTCCCCCAGCACCAAGTTAAGCAGTGTGATTACGTTGCCAAAGATCACCTCTTTCCTATCATCTTTCTTCTGAGACTTGTTTAGAGTAAACTTGGAAGCTGTGTTTTGCTCACTCTGAAGATTGAATATAAGAAAATTTGCTTAAGTTTGGATGATGCAGCTGCTGAAGTAATCTGTGATGCACTTTCCTTCAGGAATCCTTATCTATTTGTTCAGGTGTTCCACAAGTCTTCTTATCTTGGAATCCAAGAATACTCATTGTGTGGTTGCTTATTGTTTCCCAGACACCCTGATGCTTTGAGGCTTTGTCTCATGCTTTCAAGTAATGTTCTCATGTTCACCTGCTGATATTCCTTCAAGGGTGCAGGCTGTATCTCTCCAAGTGTGGAATCAAACAATCAGATAAGATGTTGTGTAACAATTCATATTAAAAACGTGATCTTGTCAGTCAAGAAGAAGAGATGAAAACAAACACCTTGAGAGTTCATGAGTAGAAGTATATAGCCCTGCATTTATGATAATATGGTGCAGTTTATCCATACACAGCAATGTAACTGCTTAAAATGCTCCTGAAATTCAGGCAAAATAAATTATAAATATTATTAAGATCAAAGAAGGTAAGAGTCCCTTATGTTTGATATAGGCCAAGCCAAAGTTTGATGTATATGCTCATCTCTTAGCTCTGCAAGTCTATGAAGAAACCATCAGAAAGCATGCTGAAAATAGAATGAGATTCCATTCAAAACAGAAAGCTCCTGTCTGTTTTAGAGAAGGTGACCAGATCCTTTATCAGAAATTTGGTATATTTCAGAGGTACAAATGTTCTTTTAGGTCTTTTGAAGCACTGGATTTAATATCAGAGTTTAGTCTTGGCTCCAATCTCCAATTCTTTGCATAGTCATTCTAGCAATCTTAGGGACCAAGTCTTCCATTAGCATAGTGATCTTCATGCCTCAAGTGTGAGGTATAAATATTCTCCTCATTGACAAGGAACCAGAGATAATATTTCATAGGCAAAATACTCAGGTATGCAAAAATGTAAGTTTTCAGTTAAAGTTTTTTGTACTGAAATTATCTTAGCTCATTAGCTCTCACTTCTGCCTGGTAGCAGGTAATGTGATTTTGCTATTCCAAGTTGACCCATTATTTCTATTTTCAAGTTTAGTTTATTTTAGATAAATTTTTAAATTCATAATGTTTTTTTGACCTTTTATATTCTCTTCCAAAAAAGGTTATTCTAACTTCCTAATGGGTTTACTTTGATAGCAGTTGTTGTTATGTGTATATATGTATATATATTTTCAAAAATCAACTTTATTGGTTTATAACTCACAAAAAATAAAATTCATTCTTTTAAAGTGTATATTTTTTCAATTTCTACACAAATAGCCTGCCAGAATTTTGATTAGAATGATGTTGAATGTAGATCAATTGTGAGAGAATTGTCATTAACAGTATTGAGTCTTCCAATCCATGGACATGATGTATCTCTCAATTTACTTAGACTTTTAATTTCTTTCAGCATTGCATTGAAATTTTAGGTTTAGCGGTCTTGTACATATTTTATTAAGTTTGTCCTAACAGTTTTATATTTTGAGATGATAGTATAAATGGTATTGTATTTTAAATTTTAGTTTTCAATTGTTTCTTTCTGATGTATAGATTAAAATTCATTTCTGAATGTTGAACTTGTATTCTGTGATCTTTTAAAAATCTGTTAGTTCTAATAACTTTTTTTTTTAGTTTCTTTAGGACATTGTATGCACATGATCATGTTGTCTGCAAATAAGGGAAGCTTTAATTGTTTTGTAATCTGTATCACTTTTATTCGACTTCAGTAACAATATTAAATAGAAGTGGTGAGAACTGATATCTTTCCTTATTCCAGAAATTAGAGGATAAGAATTCAGTCTTTCATTATTAATTATGGTTTTTTCTGTATTTCATAGGTATAAGTCTTTCATTCTTGATTATGACATTATCTGCAGATATTTCATGGGTGGTCTGTATAACATTGAGGTGTTTTTATTCTATTCCTAGTTATATGAAATTTTTATCATAAAAAGGTGTTAAATTTTGTCATACATATGAATATGTGTTTATACTCCAACATGATTAGATTTTTTATTCTTTATTCTTATTATATAGTGAACTAAAGTACATTTTAAAATGTTAAGCCAGTCATGAAACTCTGGAATCTACTTTTCATAATGCACTACCTTTTATATCTAGATGATTATAATTTACTAAGGATTAAGGATTTTTGTGTCTTTTTTCATAAAGAGTATCAGTCTAAAGTATGCTTTTGTTATAAGATTTTGTCTGGTTTTGGGTAAGCATAAAACTGGCCTCATGAAATGATTTGGAAATCTTCCTCCATACTCTCTTTTTGAAAGAGTTTAGGTAGAATTGTTATTTATTTTATAAATATTTAATGGAATTCACCAATGAAGTCCTCTTTGCTTGGAGTTTTCTTGGTGAGGCAGTTGCTAATTAAAATTTGATATGGGACTATTCAAGTTTTCTATTTCTTCTTGAGTCAATATTGGTAACCTGTATCTTTCAAAGATTTATTGATTTTAGCTAAGTTATCAAATTTATTAGGATAAATTTGTTTATTATGTTCCCTTATTTGTTTACTCTAAAATTTCTGTGGATTTGTAGTGATGTCCCTGTTTACATTCAACTATTGGAAATGTTTCTTCTTTTTAAAAAATACTATTAGTCTATTTAAGAGTTTATAAATTTTATTTATAGTTCTACAGAAACAGCTTCAGTTTCATTGATTTTTCTGTTTTGTCTAATTTTTATTTTATTGGCTTCCTCTCTTATTACTTTCTTACTTCTACTTCCTTCAGGTTTAACTTGCTTTTCTTTTATAGATTACTTAAATGAAAGCTCAGGTCACTCATTTTATATGATTTTTATTTTCTAATATAAGCACTTAATATACATTTCCAGCTACATGCTGGTTTAGCTCTTTCCAAAATTGTTTTAATATTTTCTGATGCCATTATATTTCAGTTCAAAATAGTTCATAATTCTTTTGTGATTTATTTTTTTTCAGTCTATATAGGCATGTGTTGTTGAGTTTGTAAATTTTGGAGATGTTTCAAACAGAATGTTTGTATTATTGGTTATAATTTAATTTTATTATTTTCAGAGAAGATACTCTGAATAATTTTAGATTTTTGGGATTCATTGATACTTGTTTTATAGCCCACAATATAATCTAACACCATATAATCTTCTCTGTGCACCTGAAAAGAATGCATATTCTCTTGTTGAGTGGACCATTCAACACATTTCACTTAGGTTGAGTTGGTTTTTAATGTTATCAAAGTCATCTATATACCTTTACTACTTGTTCTAATAATTACCTGCTGACTTGTTCTAATAATTACTGAGTGAGCAATGTTAACATATTTAACTATAATTATAAATTTGTCTGTCTTTTAAGTTCTACCAACTTTGGTTTCAGGCATTGTTGAAGCTCTGTTATTAGGTGTGTATACAGATTGAAAATGTTATATCTTCTAGATGTACTTTCCAGTTTTTCATTATGAAATGCTTCATCTTTCTTCTGAAAATATTGCTTATCCTGATGTTTACATTGTAGATCATTAATATAGACATTCTAGACTATGCCTAGCGTTCGTTTACATGGTATTTAATTTTGTATCCTTCAACTTATAACCACACTATGACTTTATAGTTAAAGAGGGCTTTCTACAGTTGGCCTATATTTGGGTATTGCCTTTTTAACCTCTCTGACAATGTGTCTTTTAATTGGAGTGTCAAGATTAGTAACATTTAATGTAGTTATTGATATAGTAAGTTCAAATCTATACTCTTGCTATATTTTTTATTAATTGTCTTCTTTTCCGCATCCTTTATTGTCAATTATTGTTTTAGTGTTCTATTATTTTCACTACTGCCTTATTAGCTATCCCTTTCTTTAGTTTTTAGTATTACTCTAGGGAATATAACACACACCTTTAGCTAACTTCAGCCTACCTTTAAATGATATCATCTCACTTCACACATAATGTAAAAATCTTATATACCTTATATGCTTTCATTTATCTCCTTCCATCTTTTGTTGCCAATTTTATTTATGCATATGCTATAAATAGCATTATTCTTTCCTCAAAGATATGTCATTTGAAGAAATAAAAAATGAGAAAAATAGTGTTTTATGTGTACTCACTTATATATTCCATTTCTAATGTTTCTCATGCCTGTAATTTTCTCAGCTGTTCTCAGTTCTCAGCTGGCATCATTTTCCTTCTGCTGGAAGAACAGTCTTTAATATTTCTTGTAGTGCAAGTCTGCTGGTGATGAATTATTTCAGCTTATTTATCAGAAACATAATTTCACCCTGAGTTTTGAATTTTACACTTTTCCGTGTGGAAGGGAACTTGAAGAATTTTATCAGGGGAGTTTATAAATGTCATGCTTATATTTGCATTCCAGAAGTATCCTTTGGACAGTCCCATTTATTTGGCTTAGGAAAAGTCTGAAAGCAACAGGAACAACCAGGAGGCTGTTAAAATAATCCAGGGGATATATAGTGAGGTTTCAAATGAGTCAATGGAGGTAGGGGTGGTGATAAGAAAGCTGGTTTGAGAGATAACTGTGTCATCTGAACTTGGGTATCAAATATAAATGGAGACGATGACTCCCTGTACTTTTGTTATGGCTCTGAAGTAAGGAGAGGCCCTGTGTACTGACGTGAGAATTTGTAGTAGGAGAAACTGGTTTGTGAGATCAGTGGTGCTCATCTTCATGATGGCAAAGGCCCTAGGACTGGGGGCTGTCCCAGATGCCATGCCTGGCATGCAAGTTCTCCATTGAGATGAACCTCTTATCTGTTTGGGGCCCATGTACATTTCCAGCTCTTGGTACACTGCACACCAGAGGAATAGAGACTGATTTTGCCTTTTTACCCTCTCTGACAATGTGTCTTTTAGATTCTAGGTACATGATATTGAGGGTCTCCCATTTCTAGGACATTGGCTCTGGTTCTCTGCTCCTTCTGACCTGCACTGGACAGTTATGGATAATATCCTTAGGCTAAAATAACTTCAGGTCCCCACCTCTGCACAGAGTGCTTGTCCTGTGGCCTCTCTCATTGCATCAGCCTCACCAGGCTCTTGTTCTATCTGTTTCTCCTATCCCACTGTTTCCAGCAAGTTGTACAGCTGAGTTCACCCCAAGTTATGACATTATTTAGACTTTTCCTTTCAACTTGGAATATGAAACAAGGATAAATCATTTAACCTCCGTCGTCCATTTAACCCCTGTGTAAACTGTCTGAGGAATATAATGATAATTACCTTTTTCAGGGGCAGAGTTGGGGGGAGAGTCAATTAAGGCTTGTACTGTGCTTTGAGATCTTTCAATGAAAGGCTCGGGGTTATTACTGTTAACAAGATACCAGAGGGATATTTGCCAGCAGTGACTCCCTTTGAGCCAGCATGTCTGTCATTAGTAATTTGGGGGCTTGGCACAGAGTCATGGGAATGTTTTAATGGCTTCTGTTCAACCCCAGAAATAGATTGTGAGGTTGCAAAAAGAAAAGCTTGTTTTCTCTGCTCTCCTCTACTTCTGTACGCGTGGTGACTCTCAGGGGAGATCTCAGGTTCTTTGGCAAGGGCCAAAGAAGTGAGAAACAGGGTCTTATGCTGCCTCAATAAATTCTGACAGTAGACAGTGGTCAGGCCTGTTCCAGGGACTGATTTAAAGAGGAGCTATACCACCAGATAGTAACTGTGGCCTCAACTTCATTTCTGGAGCTACCTGGGGAGCTTGCTAATCCACTGAAGTTTGGGAGTGATCGGTGCATTAATACTGTTTCCTAAATAAGTATGTAGGAAATGTTTGTCAATTTGAACAAGTGATTTTATCCCTAAAAAAGCTCACAAATGCTTTTCAGAGCTATCTCTGTGAGTCAAGAAAACAATGTTTTCTGCCTAGGAGGTGTGGTCTTGTTTCTAGCACCTGGGCGAAGAATATATGTGTCCAACTCAACTTGTGTTTGGCCCTTCATTGGCAAAGTCCATGCTGTAGCTTAATTTTCAGCCAATTAATAAACTGTTCTTTTAAAAACTCCCATCAGTTTCTCTTCCTTCTTTTTTTTCCCTTTATTTTTTACTCCATTCTTTGTTTTATTTTTAATCAGTTCTTTTCTCTACTCATCAAGCAACATGATAGACTGTAAAAAACAGCAGATATGTGGAAATGAGAATTAGCTTTGACTCTTACTGACGGTGACCGTGGGCAAGTCACTTAACCTCTACAACATTTACTTTACCCTCTGAAAAATGTGTTGATAACACAGGGTCCCAGCAAGATGGCTGGGAGTCAATATGGACACAGTTTTTTCAGGTGTTACAGATGCAGAGTCACGTAAACTTGTGAGGCTACTGAATGTAAGCAATAGGGTATGGTGGGGACTCCCAGCTGAAACATCCTTGCCCCGGCCACAGGGAGCAGCTATTATTCTGTTATATCAAATGTTTACCAGACTTCATTTCTTTTTTCAAAGCAAATAGGACACTTAAAAATGTATATAGTATGTCCCGGTTTTTACATGTTGGAACCAATTCATTTTATTTTGCAAAAAGATGTGAAACAATTACAACA